GGACAGGAGTCGGATGGCAACGGAAGGGATACTCGTGGTATGAGCTGGGAGCCGTGGGCATGAGTGCAGCTCGCGCCGTAGGGACAGCGCTGCAGCCTGGCGAGCGGAATCACTGAAGCCGAGGTCCTCACTTCAACTGGGGCCCGCACAGGGCCCAGGAGGAGCAAAGCCTTCCGGATTCGCTCCAAAAGGCACACCATGGCACATCATGGCACAAGCGCTCCGAACCGAAGCCTTGTCTTGTAGAGGTCTGGGCGTGGGCGCAGCTGCGCGATGCCGTGAGCGAAGGTGCAGCGATTCCCACGGGTGCATTTCCCCTCCTTACAGGCCCGCGAGTCAGTTACCCTTTGCATGTCGCAAGTTCGGGACGATTCTCTGAACAATCCGGGCCAGTCTCTGCGAAGAACGCGCAAAGCTCCGTCTGCTTCACTGGCTGCCGCTTCTCGGCACGGCGAGATCGCTTGGCGCTGCAGCCTCCAGTCTAGTCGCGATTGAGCCCACTGACCCTTCCAAACCCAACATGGCCCGCGTCGTGGCAACATGCCGCAGCCAACTGGAAGAGTCCACAAACTGGTCGCACTTCCGAAAGCTATGTGCAGCGCCTGGTTGGACCATGGTGCAACAGGCAGCGGAGGAAGCAGGATTGATGTCTGATTGCGTGAGGCAGAGACTCTGAGCCAGTGCGATCTGGAGACACTTTCACATGCGGTGCAGGCAATCTGACGGCTTCAGACCCTTGGACGCGCCGACAGCTAGAGTCAGACACGCAATCCAACAGAGGTGTCGCCTGTTTCGAAACTGCTGTTGCCACAGTCTTGGAATGAACATGAACGGGTAACTTGATCTATATCTACAGCTGGGTACACTGTCCTTCGAAGCCAGGCGAACTTCTCGTCCGAAATGCCCAGACTCGAACTCAGCTCATGCTCCTGTGCGCTTCAACAAGTCTCGGCACAAGCTCGAGTTTTGGCGCTCTTGGTCAGACCCTGCAGACCACGTTATCAAGCATCTGCACAAAGAGCTCCCCGTTTTGTGCCTCGGAGCTATGCTCCACAGCCAATTTGTCCACAACCCTCGCAGTCTTCGAATAGTCTTCGCCAAATGCTTAAGCCGAAAATCGCTGAAGTCGCTGTGAACCATGTCGCCAATTCTGCTCCCGCCACGTGGCTGTTATTGAAGACCTAGGCCTAGGACCCCGCCCCGTGTCGGCACAACAGTGTCTAGGTCGTATTGCTAGGAAACCTAACCGAAGATCAGATCAGATACCAGCTGCAACAGTCCGCAATGAATAAATGGCCCCTTTGTTCCACGCAAACAAAGTTCTTGCAGATGGTCGCGGCCAAGATGTTCTCAAGCCGCACCTGCATCCAACAATCTCCTACAACCTCCATGAGATGAAGCCTTTTGGATTCCGGTAGAACCCCTCTTGAGGATCAACTATAGCGATTAGATGGTGAGATGACAAATCATGTTGGAGCAAAGGCTGCCTGTGGGGCTTTGGTTGCCACAGAGTCAGGGCCCCACCTTGAACTTGAGTTTACGAACTCTTCGCGCCGCTCGCCTTCGAGACCGACAAATATGTGAGAATGTATTGCCTAGATCTTCCAAAGCCTCTAAGCGACCTCAAAAAGGGCTCAGCAGCGGTGCAGGAGGCTTCTATGAAACTTTCGTGCCCGTCCGTATGCCCGCGTCATTGGGACGAGTACCGTCTCCTCCGGAGACCGGCGGCGCTCAGGTCGATTGGAACCTGGCACGAGGACCGAGGTTCTTCTCGAATGGTCCGAGACGCCCCCAAAAAGGAAACCTTGGCCCACTCAAACCGGTCGGACCCACCACTTGGAGGAGCTCTTGTCACCTCGCTTCACACTACGAGACATCGGAGGGGTGTACTCGAACGAGCTGTCACGCATGGCTCGGGCCGGGGAAATCGTCGGTGGTTAACATAACAGTGAATTTGTGGAGACATGCGTTTTACAGCCGACTGATGTGCTTGGGGGTCCCCTCCGCCCCCATGTGTACATTACTAGCAGCTGTGTTGCTCGGGAGGTCCACGCCCGAAGACCCCAAGTACTTTATCTGAGCAGGAATCTCAAGCAAAAATATACCGGGATCCTACTGGGCCTATAGGAACAACCGGAGAAGCATTTCGAACCCCTAGACCCCTTCGAAGCACATTGGGTTGGGCAGGGGTGGTTGCATCTCTGGAGACAGTCCAACATTGTGATAAACTTGCTGGGCTGCCGGTATGTGCTGGACGGAAACGAAACTGACCGAATGCAGGCCTCCCTCCGCATCCTCGCAAAGCAAAAAACCATCAACAAGCCATTCCTTCAGCGCAACCTGCTGTTATGCCCGCGCAATGAACTAGGAGCCAGCAAGCCATCGAGCACTTCCAACCCGCCGGCCCGCCTGCACGTGGCACCTGCCGCAAATGCTTCGAGCATGTCCGGGTTTTGTTTTAGCAGGCAGTCTGCTAACTTCAGAGCATCATTTGTAAGGGCCAAGCGGGGAAGCTGACGAAATAAATTGTGCACATGAAACCAATGCATTGGAAAGTGGACTGTGCATGTTTTGTACAACAGTCTTCAAAACTCAAACTACACACCGCCCATGATATTCAACTACAAACCAACCTCTCTCTCTCTCTATATATATATATACACATACATATTGATTATGTAGTTCGGACAATATGTCCCCAAGGTCCGATATCGTTCGAAAGCAATGCCATCACAGTCACACCTACGTACATCGACCATAGCGTGGGGGTCGGCCGAACGTCCCAATTCAGCTTCATTTGTCCCATCGCACGCCACTTGATCATCAGACTGAAAAACCATGAATTTCTCCAACGACATTCCCTCTGGGCAAACGATCGATCGACCAGATGATCCACCACAGTGGCTAATTTCGAAATGCTGATCCCACTCGATGTCACATCGTCAGCTCTTCGAATGTCTTCTTTTGAACCACGACTGGGAATCCACCTTTCCACCTCCAAGGCTTCACCGATCGGACTGCGGTCCCGAAGCAGTGCCCTTTGGACTTCCTCGATCGAAACTTCACATATTGCAGGAGATTCCTCCGACAAGGCAGCTGAGCCAATTTTTTGAAGAACCGTGTCGTTTCGAAACGCCCAAGCCCCTTGCATGGACATCTGCCACGGCAAATTTGAAGGTTGTGGGCATGCAGCTTCCGAACCGCGTATCCCAGCGATCGACCCAGCTGCCGGGTCGGAGACCACCGCGCCCAGAACAACCGAGAGGTCTCACTCGAGCACGGCATCCGCGGTCAGCGCCGGCTGGATAGCCTGGGCGCGGCTCGACCTGAATCGTTTAATGAGTGCGTGGACGACCGACGGTTTCATCTGACACGGCTGCCGAGCCCGATAGCACCTGTTTGTGCTCTTTGATCTCCACTCTCATACACACCGGGTGTGATCATGAGAATTTGGCCGAGGGCCCACCATCTTCCGAAGCATTACTCGTCCGAGTGCCAGGCAGTTTGCGGCCGAATTGTTGCCAGGACGATGAGACCCGGATCACAAAGCATGGTCAAGTATCGAGCATGATGTTGTCGAAGAGCTCTCTGAATCCAACACACGGCCAGGCATCGGTTGGGCATCCGGGATGGCCGGTCCAGCATTAAACGACAGGCAGGAGCAGAGCATATGTCGTGATGGGGAGACGATCAGCAATTGGTAAAAAACGACGTGTCGAACCAAGATGTCACCGATGCTCCGCTCGAGCTCGCTGCTTTCGAGACTATCGTCCTTGGTATCCAGGACCACAATAGAGCTCTCAGCATCGTTGGCCGAATTGTTGACCGACGTTTCGATGAGATTGGGGACCTTCATCTCGAAAGGGTAGCCGAAAGGCCTCCGCGACCTCCTCCTTGTCCGTCGTCGCGATGATGATCTCGACGACGAGCATCACTATGGCCGGCGCATGCCGGCGCCAGAATGTGAGGAAGGTTGACACTGCGGCGGCGGAGAAGGGATCAGCATCCCCGCCCCGATGCACTGTTAGCAGAAATGCGGAAAACCGGGCACAGTTGATCAATTGGCGGGGTGGGTGGGGTGGGTTGCGTGTGGTGGGTGGGGGTGGGTGGGGTGGGCCGAATGATGAGGTGGTGGGTGTGGTGGGTGGGGTGGGTGGAGTGGGTGAGTGAGTGATCTGAGTGGGGAGGGTGAAGTGGCTGAGGTGGGTGGGGCGGGTGGGTGGTGGGATGGGTGGGGTGATAGGAGTCGTAGCAGTCATAACGGTAGTACTAGTGCCTTGATCATTGATTACAGCTGCAATGAAGGCGGTAAAAGAAATATGTGTATGTAATGATAACAGCGTGAGTGCCACGACTAAGGACCTTGTAACCAGTCAAAGCAACAGCAGTGCAAAACATGACACATCAGCTTTTGCCAACATATCCAAAATACTAAAATACCCGCTACGATTGATATAGCAAATGTGTTCTACCGAATGACCAACCCAATCAGCCTACTCCTGATTGAAGCACACAGAGTACATTTTGTATACCTGCTCAGGTGTTGTTGCTGACTGCTTGCGAGGAGCATCTTCTGATTCTTCTTCGTAAGAAGCGGCAAGCAGCACGTTCTTCACCTCAGCTCTGCATTACTGTAAGACTCGGAAGCAACCGTTCTCTTCCTGCCAGCACAAGCTACCCGAGCGACCCGAACATGCTCCTCTCATAGTTTGGGCGGACGGGCGACATGCTTTCAAGATCTTTCAAGTGTCGACATACTCAGGTCGCACGCTGTCGGCAAGGTTTCAGCAAGAGCTGAGATCCAGACTATGTGGACGAATGTGACCTGGCTTGAACTCTGGCACTGCGTCTCAGTCCCATTCCATGAGCCAAGGCACGAAGTCGATAGGCGTGTCCGGAGCCTCAGATCAAGCTTCCACACGCCTAGATTCTTGATCGTTGCAAGGCGGATGCTCCCCCGTTCTGAGATGAGTCGCAGTCTGGACTGACCTCATGTATATCCTCAAGTCGTCGTCCGTCAGTGGCGAGTCAATGAGCTGCCGTAGATGAAACCTAGACGCGACAGTCTGACAGCGACGGTCAACGTTGAGCCAACGCGTTGCCTGCACAACCAAGCTACGGCTACGCAGGCCCATGGCCGTGGATTGGATGTCCTAACTTGAAAACAATTGCTTTCCTGTTGCGACGTCTCTCCGAGAACAACCATCCATGACGGGGCTCGGCTTTCGATTATGACGACAGTCTAGTTGCGAGCAACCTGAAGCAAGTGGGCAAAAAGTGGCCTAGCCTTTTCCATCTTCTGTCTCAAAGGCTCAGGCTCACCGTTGCACGCATCCGTAAGGACCCCACATGCAGTGCGCCAGGCCCATCTGAGGGACTGTGCCATCCATGCGCGGACCCAAAGACATCCAGGTCCTACAGGATGCTGGAGTCTGCGAAAGATATGCAGAGCTGCAAAGCTGTCTGCTGCATTTTCGGCCAGACTGCTGTAGCAAGCAAGTGTGATCAGGGACGCCTAATGCAGCACAAACATGCATTTTCTCAAGCGCAGCGAGACCCGGATCTTGTTCAGCTGTTGCTACTGCTACTGCTGTGCTTTCCTCAGAACGATCATCACACTCAAGGAGCAAACTTCATCGTGCCCAGCTTTCCACTCGTCGCATCGCCCTTAAAACACGCAGCATCATGCACTGCATAAGCAGATTGAAGGGGTTATGCACAGGTTGTGTAGAATATTCATGATCGTGCGTGTGGACAATGACGGCGGAAGCCGGTCTGAGAAATGTACATTCAAAGTTTCTGCCAGACCCCATGCAGTGCCACGATGTGGTAGGGGCCTGAAACTGGACTAACCTGGAAGACATCTTCACTATGAGCGCTGCAGGTTGAAGTTTTGAATGAATGGACCGATCTTCTGCAATATGATTACTGCATGCCATGTAAATGAACACTCAGTTACTGCTTGTTGCAGCAATGTGGAGCAGGTGTTTGGCCAAGCTGATTGGATTCCTGCATTGATAAGAAGCTTGTCGACTGGAAAAGCGACACTGAGCCACTGGGTACCAGGCAGAAATGCAAAAACATGAGGTGAAACGTGCTGGACACTTACGGGCGGATCAAATCGAATGATGGTGCGCATCATCATGCTCACTACCAGATGCAAAAACTCCCGATGCTCCGCAACAGCCTACTACTCTGTCCCGCCAGATGGCTTCTCATCCAATGTATGCAGAGGCACAACGAATGCCTCATGGCTCTCCGAGCCTACCCGATTTTGTCTCAAATTCCTGTATCAGTGTCGATCAGCTCTGGGCAGAAAATAAAGCCAGCCAAGAAGCGGCGCCACGCGGCTCTCGAACACTTTTTGGGAAACACCACAATCATGTCTTCCAGCTCTAGTTCTGGATGTTCTGGGTTCTGATCTGCGCATTTCGGCTCTATTCTTTGCAGAGTTTGCTGGTTTGGGGGTGCTGTCTCACCGGATCCTCAAACCACAAGGGACGGGCGGGGCGTCTCCTGGACCCCGAAGTAAAAGCAAAGCGAGCAGAGCCCCAAAGCCGAAGCCCTACATTTATTCAAAGTGAACGGAGTCTACACAGGCCCGGGTGAGTGTCATGAGCCTTTGGTGAGCGTCCTAACTTATCCAGCACTCCTTGAAGCCGTGGCCAGCTAAATATCCCGCGCCTATGCAGCTATGATACGGATTTCCATGTGTTCCTGAAAGCCGCACATTTGTTTGAAAACCTCAGCGACTGGGATTGCTCGCAGAAACCAGCATGAACCTCTCCTCGAACAGCAGCAGTCTATTTGTGCGCGTGGGCATGTAACTGGTTTTTTGTCTCTGGTAATCACAGTGCGTGTGGTTCATGCAGGTCTTTGAAAGCGGAACCTCAAGTCAGACTGACCCCAGCGAAGTTACAAGCTCAAGACTTCCCCATGAATAGCCCATGGCGCGGCCTGGCAAAGGCAAGGTATGCTGGATGACGACAGGTACAGGAAGAACAAGATTAGAATGTACATTTCCTGGCCTGCAAGCTGGCCTTCAACTGCACACTCGCCATCTGATGCGGGCTCGGGATGTGGCCTTAACCATCCGCACAATCGAAGAGCACACATACAAACTTAAGATTGTCTCCCCATGGCCAATTCCAGCTCAGTAGCTCCAGGGAAGCATGTCGATGTAGTCGGGGGTCGTGATTCGATGATCAGCGCCGTCAACGAGTGGTTTGTACTCGACATACCTAATGTGGCGAGGTCTCGTTGCGACTTTGTCAGATACCAAAAGAAGAGGCAAGCAGTGTGTTTTTTTGAGAAGTCTTTGCACATGCCTTCTGCCGGGGCTCTTTACGGCGTTGTCCTGGGACTTTGGCAAGCCAAACTGTGTCACGACGGACGACAGCGAGAGCCTGGGTGCTGAATCCCCTGCCTAGACATAAGTCTTCGGAGAGGCAGGAGGGATGACAGAGACATGGCAAGTCTGAGCAACAAGGCATCAGGTTCTTCTTCTCATTCTTCGAGAGACTACAATATGTCCACCAGGCTACACACTCGTTCTGGAAGTCTCCCTTCGGCCCTCCACCATTTTGAAGCCGGGAGGCTCAGACTCACAGTCTCCAGATGCTGTGGAGGATTCCTCCTTGCTCAGCCCTCGTACCTGTGAAGCACGTGGATTGAAGAGACCTTGTGAATGCTCCTCATCGTGCACTCGCTGACACCCCCGAGACTTTGCCTCTGCTTGCCGGGCCTCCAGATCCGAGAAGTCTCCGATTGTGCGCAACTCTTCTTCACCTTGGCATGGCACGGGACAGGAGTCGGATGGCAACGGAAG